AGACTCTCTTATAGTTACGTTTGACAACTCTTAAGTACGTCTGACCCACACTCGTTCAGGTATTTCTGTATACGCTTGAATATCATTGAATATCACATTTTAGGAGCGTACACCGTGATGAAGGCTTTGATGTGTTGAGACAGTGTTGGCGTGCACCAGGGATCCTGCCAGTAGTTCACAAACTATGTGAAAGTAGGTTAAAACCTGACAGGATTTGTTAAAAGGATTGTGTTGACACTTCATTAATATCACGTCAACGTGTATGCGTACGCTCAGACACACACATGCATGTGCTACATGCCCACATGCATGTATTTGGTGTAAACATGCCGGGGAGAATATTTGCATATTGAAGTGTGTGTGTGTGTGTGTCGGGTTAATCCTTGATGATGATGATGATGATGATGATGATGATGATGATGCTACCTGCCAAGACACCCACACACTGCAGCAACAGTTGTAGCTTTAAATTAAGCCGCGTGATTAGTGCAATTAAACTCTGCGAGGTTGTTTACGTGTGAGTTATGGTGTGTAAATGTTTAAGGTGCTCTGGTGGCGGTGTGTGCGTGTGTATGAATATGACGGTGTTTGTGTGTGTGTGGAAATGCTAATTTTTCTCTACTGTACACGGCTGTGAATCAAAGATTACTCCAGTCTGTGATCATGAGTGAAAGCTACTGAATGTGAACCTCAAAAAGGGAGAAAAAAAAAAAACAACTCTTTGAAGATTGTATATTTGAAAAGATAACAGAACGCTCTAATGTCTGTTAAATCCTCGCACTTTTGCAGCGGAGGTGACGGCAAGGTACGCAAAATTTGTTACAGGCAAACACAATCTTCAGGATAAATATTGTGTTTTGTAGTCATTAATAAAACACCGGCCTCAGAAAGTCAAGGGGGACATTAAAATACAGTTGGAAAAGTAGCAGCGTTACGTGGCTTTATTAGATGACATCATCTAAGACTGATTTTTTTTTATAATTAACTGGTAGTGATTATTACTCTTTATTTTATAGCTAATAAATCCCGCTAGTCTGTATTATAGAATTAACAATATTGAAAAATGCTTAACTAAAATTCCAAATTCTAATCTTGATGGTGGTTTTAAGGAGGTGGTGAGAATTTCTTTTAAAACTTCAGCGAATCATTGTGCGGCCGCAGCTGCTTTGGCGAAACAAAAACTCTTTCTTGCTGTTTGTAAAACTAATGTGTGTGGATGATGGAAGTATTGGATATATGGTGTGGTGGGTGTGTTTTTTTTTATCAACATTTTCCCCTGCATACATGGTATATTATATTTACGTTGTTGTTGTTGCCTGAATCTTTTAGTGGTTTAATCTGAGGGCCTGAGTGGATGGAGGTCAAACAGGTCAGTTTGACCGAGGTGTGTTCATCAAATTTGTTTGTTATGCTTTTTTTCCCCCTAGTTGATTACAAGCACCACAATAATAAAAAAAAAATCAACAGTTATTCTATAGTCAATAAATTGAAGTGAGATACTCATCTTAACTGATTTTGCTGCACATAAAGACTGCAAATCCAGAATGACAGCGCGGGGCGGTTATGTTTGGCAGATTAAAGATTATTGTTTTTGCACATAAAGATTATCCCATTATACAGCAAAGAACACACAAGGCAACACGCAGCTAAGCATGTTGTAAACACGAAGCTGTCATCATGCACTGGGCTGTGTTCTTACACTGAACTTAGGTTTGGCATTTGTAAACACGAAGCTGTCATCATGCACCAGGCTGTGTTCTTACACTGAACTTATGCCAAACCTAAGGACCATGGGCCAAATCCAGCCCATCATATCATTTAATGTGGCCGTCCAGAGGGGAACACTCTGTCTGTAATCTCATTTACCAGAGGGGAACACTCTGTCTGTAATCTCTTTTTTTTTTGTTAAGTGTTACTACATTTGTTGAAACATGCGAGTGAGGTACAACTTCTAAAGATATGAGATATAGAACTATGTAAAATTTCTCCCGTGCTTTTCCCCATTTTTTGGCTCCATTTCTGTGTCTGTGTTTCCCCTCCTTTCATGCGCTGTGACGTGCTTAGCCATGTGCTGACTTGTGTTATGGAAAATAGGGTTTTAATGCTGTTTAATGGGATCATCTTTATGTGCATCTGATCTTTAATCTGTTAACATTATAGCCCGTGGCAGGCAATCCAAACATACAGCATGCCAATGAGATTAAGATAAGTAGGAAGACTGAACTCATATCTAGTCCTGAGAAAGGATGGGACGGAATAACCGTGTTTGTTTCTGCTCGTGTTTTGGATTAGTGGCGACAAACACACAATTTATTCACGTTCAGCGTTCTGTCATCGTTACAGATTTTAATTAAAGCAGTAAAAATGTAAATGTAGCAGTCAAAGACTGGTCTTTATTAACAAATGCAAACAGCACTTAAGATTTACAGTAGGAAAATATATATTATATGAGATCTTCCATTCTAGTTCAGGGATTAAAAAAAATGTTTTCTCAAGAGTGAAGTCAAGAGTTACTCATTAATCGATGCATTGACTCTTTGTCCATGTTTCAGCATCGAGTCCATGTTGTCTTTGAAGTGGCGATTGCTCTGAGGAAGAAAAACGCCTCACAAATGTTTGGTTTTTTTTCTCGCAAATTTCTTGCTGTGTAGCAGAAAAACTCATCTTCCTGTTGGCTTGACTAGTGGTTTTTCATTGTTGGATCTAAACTTCAGTAAATAATTACATTTTCAGCAGTGAAACTCCAATAACATGACACTCTTTTCCATTTAACACTTTTTGTCCCAGAGGGAGAGAGTGGTTCTAAAGCTACACTGTGTGCTGAGGGGTGAGACGGCTGTTTGTCTACAGTCAGACAACTGTATAAAACATTGAACTAATTTCACACAACCAACAATTGTCACATTCACTGAAATGTAACTCCAGTATGACTGACAAAAGGTTTGTTATAAACACATTTGTTTAAACAGGACTGTTGTGTTGTTGACAGTGAGATTCAGATACAAAGGAAACCAAACAGATTAACGTTATTATTTATCTCACGGTGACCTCACGTGACTTCAGTCCCAAAGCTGATTTTGTGTCTTTATTTTCCACATTTGAGTCTGTGGTTCCATTGGCTTGGTGGATTTCTCTGTTTTCAGGCAGTTAAGTGGAATTTAATTGCTTGTAGGAAAGGTGTCTGTTGTCGCACCCCTGTTTACAGCCGCTCTGACATCACATTTCATCACACATTGAAATGGAAAAGGAAAGTCGGACTGGAGGTCACTTAACCTCTGACCTCTCTTTGTTTTAAGTCAGAATTTTTCAAGTGACATGATTCTGTATGACGAGTCAGAAATATTCCAGTTTAACTCAGTGTTTTTCATGTAGCCAATGTGCTGTTAGCCGTGTGATTAGCCTCTCCAAATAATATCAAAACACTAGGTTGATAAAAATGTGTTTCTGACACAAGTACAACTCCCAAACTGTTGACGTTTTAAAATAGGTTGAAAATGTCATTTCCTTTTCTCCACCAGGTGTATCTGTCCACGATCATGTGTTCATAACATATCTGATACATTGGCATGTGCACACAGTGTTGACCTGTGCCTCATCTCCACACTTACCAAACCAGGAGGAAACAGCTGTCCTCAGTGTTGGGACAGACACACAATGAGACACTTCCTGACAATAACATCATCAGAACACAGAGTACCACAGGGACTGCAGTGGAAAACAAAATTGTTGGGTTAAATATTAGTGTACGACTGTGACCTTGACTTTTTATTTTCTACACACCCCGGCCTGAGGAATATAAACACGAGAGATGGTTAATAAGAAAAGTTTGCTCTCTGTGAAGATATGTTCGACCACATTTAAAACTATGTTGAATCCAGTTGTGTATTAAATCCAATCCAGGCAGTAATTGAATATGCAAACAGGGTAAAAATTAATTTTATCCTGAAGTAAATGAGGCTGCCCTGAGTGCTCTGTGCGTTTGCCTTTATATGTGATCACGCTTGACTGATGGATCTTTTTGACATGGATGATCATTCGCACATCTTAATGTCACCGATGATGAGCTTTGGAGACCGTTTTACTCTGGACAATTACACCGTCATCATCTTTAATGCCTCGGAAAACACACGTACACACACACACACACACACACATACATAAGCACACACATCAACATCAACATCATTATCATTAGCTGTGCATAGCAGACAGAAAGATGCATGTGGTCCTTCAAAGTGTAAAGATTGTGTTTCACTAATTGGACTTTGTGGGTGTTTGTGTGGGTGGGTGTCTCTGTACTGTGTGTTTGTGTGTACGTGTATGTGTGTGTGTTTTAAGCTGGTGCTCCAGCAAGTGCAATTTTTTTTTTCATCCCTGTCTTCATTATGTGATAATTCCTAAACCACGACCTAAGTGGACACACAACTATTTCCAGACCTGCAGCCCAGTGACAGTTAGATCATTAGGCTGCGGCGCTGAGTGTTAGCATAAAGGCAGGACTTCGTCTCCTCGCGCTGTGTATGACCTTCATGTTCCTTGAAGGGATCTTTACGAGGGTGGTATTTTTAAACATGTCAGTGGTGGACGTGGGTTGGAATAAACCGATGTCTTCAGACAGCGTCAACAGCAGAGGGCTTTAGGTGATCGCAGATTCAGTTGGTATGAAGAGAACGTTCAATTAGGTCTGTAGCTGGAACCTGGAAATCAGAGAAAAAGAAGTGAATAATTCTACTGTCAGAGACAGGACTTGGGTCGAGCTTTAAAATTATTATTACTGTTGTTAATTTAATAATTACAACAACACAACAACAACAATAATAATAATTATTATTATTATTTAGCATTGTAACTCCTGCTTCAACCCAGTAAGCAAATGAAACCTGAAAGTATTTTTTACTCCCTGGAAAACACCAAACAGCTTCTCTGTTGTTTGGAAACATCTAAAGGAATTGTTATTAATGAGTCCTGTTTTTAAGGCTGTTTTTCTGCTGATTTTTCAGAGGGTGTGTGTGAGATCTGGTTGACCAGTGAGGACACCGGAGCGTATGGACGAGACATTGGGACAGACCTGCCCACACTGCTGTGGAAACTGGTGGAAGAGATTCCGGAAGGAGCCATGCTGAGGCTGGGCATGACCAACCCTCCGTACATCCTGGAGCACCTGGAGGTAAACTCGTTACATGCAGACATACAAAGAGACTCACACTGGTCCCATTAGTTCCTCCTCCAATTTATTTTTTAATTCTACTCCTGTGAGCAAAGAAAATTGCTTTGTTAGGTCTTATAAACCAAACATTGGTCTGTTTTGCTTACCAAGCAGTTAAGCCGCAGCACTCATACTCCATTCATTAGGCCCGTCCATTCTCTGCTTTTGGTAATGAGTCAATTAGGGGCCATTGTGTCCTCTTTAGCAGCCTCATTTTATCAGTCATTAATGTCTTCCCTAATGGAACAATGGAATGGATATTGTTATCATTTCTCAGCCTCTCCGTCAGTTGCGTGTTGTTGCGATTCCTGTCTGTCAGACATGTAAATTCTATCATTAAATCTCGCTCTCTAATTTTCGCCTTTTCTCTCTTCTACCTACATTCCTTCCATGGCTCTTTGTTTTCAGTCGGTCAAAACATAGCACCGCATTATCACCAGCCATCCCGCAATCTGAAACCAACTTTCAAAAGATAAATCAGAAAACCGAAAACGGAAAACCAAACGGAAGAAATGCAAATGCAGTTTTCCGAAAACGGAAAACCAAACGGAAGAAAGGCAGAGTGCAGAGCACATAGTTACGGAGGTCTTTCTTCCACTTCTGCACATTGTGTGGCTCAATATGTGGAAAACGTAAGCAGTCCAAGACGCATCAACATGCTTTTAGCTGTGAGGTCAAAATGCCATTGTTGTCAAAATCAATAAAACGCAGACAGTAGGATGCAGCCAGTAACAGGAAAGGGTTTTTTTCTCCCTCTCTCTCCTGTGCACTTATGCAATTTGTGGTGCTGTGATTGCTCTGGAGTGGGTTTATTTTTAGGGGAGGCTGCAGTTTGAGTATGTGTGAAGGAAATTAGTGGAAAACCCATGGGCTTGAAGAACTCAAAGAATTTTTAATTACAGCCTGAACACTCATTAGAAAACAAAATTATAAAGAAACAATCCTTAAGCATGAATGAAAATTAGCCATTTCTTATCATTTACTGTAAACACAATAAGAATATGTATGAGCGTACAGTTTAGAGTAGAATTAAAAAGATGCCAATAGGATTTTTTATTTTCTGCTCAATAGGAAAATCGTTTGTGTGTGTGTGTGCTTTTTTAATTACAGGAGGTTAGAAAAATAAAGAAACTTAACCTTAAATAATAAAAAAAAAAAACTGGAAAATTCACAATTATTCAGTTTTCACTGTTTGTTGTTTACCATGCTTTGAAACAGAGCAATGTGAATCTTTATAATAAATAAACCATAAACACTTTAGTAAAATAATTAACTAAAATTAATTAACTTTTTTTTTAATACACAAGATGTCAACACAGCCACAGATGCAGGACATGACTCAAAGGCTCTTGGAAATGAGTTAGTGAAAGGTTCAGTGAGGCAGAAACTGCTGCTAAACGTCCATGACCTTTGAGCTCTTTTTAAAGAACTGCATTAATAACTACAGCAACCAAATGGACACCATTAGGAGGTCATTTTCTGCTCTGACGCTTTGTGCATTGCATTAGTTAAACTTTTTTTTAATCTATTTCTTTGGTGTATGAACTTAATGTTTTTGTACTAGAGTTTTTGTATAAATTTTAATTGAGGAAATACCAACTTCAGAGCTCAGATAGAGAAAGAAGGGGCAGAGCAGAATTGTTAGGAAAGGGGTTTAAAAAGTACAGAATATTTCAAAAATAAAATAATACGATTTTCACAACTAATATACATTAACAGAACAGAAACCAAACAATACAGTTGGTAGATGTTAGTTAAAGCGGTGTCATTCATTTAAGTCATACGTGTCAAACTCAAAGAGAGAGAAAAGTGCTTTGGGAAGCAGCACTGGAAGTTGTAATTAACCAGGGGTTAATGAAGGTGGCTAATTGTCCCCCACATGTATAGGTAGGCTTTCTGCTTGGCTACATTACAATTAAAAAACCACCCTCCTAATGATAGGGAATAACAATTAACTGATAATTAGGAATATACTGGGATGCCACAGTAGCTCTGTCTGCGCGTAGGAATATACTGGGATGCCACAGTAGCGCTGTATGCACGCGCGCGTGTGTGTTAAAAATCTTTTCATATGCTACTGGGTCTGTTGGTGTTAACGTCCAGATTCTCAGTTGAATTATATCTTCTTTTTTGTTTTAATTCTTCAGTCAATTAACCTACATGAGGACAGATAAGAGCGCTCCTCTTTAACTCATTGTTGTCTTCTGTAGCTCCATTTAGCCTTTCTCCACCCATCATCTTGGTCTTCTCGTCCTCCTGCCTTATTTCTACTCTTTATTAGTCATATTTTCTGTACATTGTCTTTGAAATGGAGAGCCAAGGCATTTTCAGGTCTGGCTTTCCTTCCTAGAATGAAGTTAGTGACCGTTCTAATTTATAACTTACCTTTGAACATATTCTAACCTAATTGCTACCCTTACGTTTTCTTCTTCTCCTATTGTCACTACTGTATCAGAAGGTATCAGGTAGAGGCCAAATGATGTCAAACCGACTGGTTTTATAAAGTTCACCATCAGACTAAATGTCTGTATGTTAATCATAAAGAATCAAATGTGAGTGAAAATATATTTACTTTATGTGTGGCTCTGTGATTGGTTGTTGAACTGTCCAGGTTGTAGCCTGTCATATCATACATTGAGCCAGTGGATCAGTTAACTTGTCCCTCTTTCCCCTTGACCATAACGTGCATACACCAGAAGGTGGCGAAACAGGAGGGTCGAGGTATGTCAAAGTGTCGATGTGTTGATTGGGACTGAGTCACAGTCACTTGAGCCTGTGTGTCCCAGTCACAATAACACAATTTCTTCCTTCGTGGAACCCGTTTTCCACAAAGACACAGATGGCTTCACAGCACCTTTTGCTGATTGGAGCATTAAAAGGTCCAACAGCTCATGGCCCACTTTTCTCTGAGATTTTTGTTGATTGCACTGTGCCTTTGATGGCTCCTCTCTGAGTGGCAGCATGTATAAAATGCCTCCAATTACGCTGTTTCCTTGTTCGACACTTGGCTGACATTTTTCTCTTTCACACTTATGGTGGATTTTTTTTTACCTCTTATCCACAGGTCCGTCTGTATGTCCACCAAAATAAAAAAATGTAAGTGGCTGTCAGACGTGCAGTAGGTTGTCCGGTTGTATAAAGTGCACAAATAGCGTTGGGTGTGCATGTGCGGACTTGGTTAATTAGGTGTGAAAGTAGCCTCCGCTCACGTAGGAGTCAGTCAGGCTCAGATGAATGAGGTAATAGTGTTCCATTAAACATCGGCTGGTGAGCTCGTCTCACTTTTAGATGCATCAGACGTGTCGTCCACACGTTTTTTTTTACTCTGGATCAGCAGTGTGATGACTGTATTGGGCCAGTTTGTTTGTTTATCTTTTTTTTTTTACTTAAAGTTCACCCCAGCTTTGGTAATTATTAATAATTCTAATTTATCTAAGTCTTAAAGGGACATTCAGGGAGATAATAGTGCACAGCAATTCAGTGTCATTGCAGCTCTAACATATCATGTACTAAAAGAGATGTATATTTATTAGAAATAATATGCTATTAAAATGGAATTAATTGATTGTTAAAACCAATCAGAATTTCATTCTGGGGAGTACACACTTTTTTTTTTTTACCATATTTTGTTGTGATTGCATCACATTAAAATTCCACTGACACAGAGGTGTGTTTCTGTGCTCAGTCCTGTGGAACCCCACTGAGCCTTTCCAAAGGTTGACAAACTACCACAAACCCATAATGAAGTGAAAACTCCATCTCTTGAATCGGCTGATATTTTTTATAGCAGGACACACACACACACACACACTGATACACACAGACAGGCTGTACCCACTCTCAGACACACCCTCTCAGACCTTTTTCATTTTAATGAAGCCTTTGGGAGCCTCTTCACATTAGAAGCCTAATGTAGCATTGTGTGAGGGACCCAGCACCGAACGAACGAACGAACGCTCACAGCCAGTCATTTTCATGCGACTCTAAATTATGACTCCTGACTTAATGCAGCCAATTACACGTTGTGAATCATGGTGGCACTTTTTGGTTGTGAAAAGAGCAGATTTTCCATCGCAGCTGCCCATTTGATAAATTAGAATTTCCAGCGTTGCTCTTTGATTGAGTCTGTTTTTTGTATATTTTTTTGACAGAAAGCCAAATCGTGGTACGTGCGAGCTGCAGGAAACATTTATCTTTTTATTTTTGGTTCAGTTGTTCTAATGAGAAAACAGAATGGAAACTGTCACCAAACTGTGAAATGATGCTTTCAACAGTCAAACAATTCACCCAGCCACAATACAGTGGGGCATTCAAATGCTATTCATACGCCTAATGTCCCTTTTACTCTGCGTCTGCATCTGCAGCCTGTGAAGTGCTGCAGACCCAGTTCACCCTCCAGGGAAAATTGTGGTGCAGCCTGAAGTGTTTGAAATGTTGAATTCCGTGGGGAGCTCACTTTCTCCTTCTCATGCTGAACACAGTTCCCACTGACTCTGCGTTTGTGTGGAGACCGCTGCGCGCACACACACATGCAGTACACAGAGACCGGGCTTATTATCCAGGGAGCAGCTTGTAGAATCTTTCTCCTTCCAGACTCCCCTGGGTGAACCCTGCTAACACTCTGATATGTGTGGGTTTGTGTGAAAGCAGTTGGGTGCTACATATTCACTGTTTGCTTCAGTAATTCCACTTGAACCAGACCAAAGCCGTGTCTGTCTGTGTTCATTCTTTGGGGAATAGATTCTCTCTTACTCATAAATGTTAGTCATTAACGTCACTCAATGCAAGTATGATGGTGTGTACGCCATACATTTACAGTGACACCACCAATTAACAATTTATTATATGAACAATGAGGATATATTGCAAGAAAAATGCAGATCATTTTTGAAAAAAATAAACACTTTTTTATATCTCTAAAAAATGAGACTTTAATTCTCTGGGGTCATTTGTTCCATTTG